TTCTTTAAATTATTTCAAGAATTATAGATACTGGTGAGGATCTTGCTCTACTTCAAGGTAAAAATAGAACTGATGGGTGGAGCTGCCAATAATGTTGCAACACCCTTCCCAGTTGCCAGCATGCTCAGTATGCTTTCCTATTGTATGTTTATGAAAAATAGCACAATGGATTGCTTTTACAGAAGATACTGATTAAGATGATTTGTTACTTAGATTACTAGATTGATTTCTCAGTAGCAAAGAAGGATAATCGGAAACAGTGGATAAATATTAGTGTTCTAAAGTCATAAAAGTCTTTGCTGCAGTGGACACAAGGTTTTTGAAGGGGGATGATTAAGGAATTATCAGGTACTCTGATACTGATTTTTGGTTATCTCTAAATTGAGCAAATTACAAAGGTAATCAGAGTCCTTACAAAATTTTAACAGATTACATGGAAAAATCTATGTGGTTCTAGGCTTGTTTATCTCATATTAGTCTTATAAGAATGGACTAGCTGAAGCTGGACTTTATTAATAAAGACAAGTAAGATAATTAATGTTGTGTATGTAGTGAGATAATTATAAAAATGAACATAGACTTACAGTAAATATAGCTGTTTAAACAAACTGTTTTCTTTATGAGACCAATAGGTATGTTGATAAATGTTATTTGTTAATAGTCATTTTTAAATGACTGCAAACCATGCAGAGGATGGAAAGACTGGAGAAGTGACAAATGTTGAAGAGATCAAGACAGTGATGTAGAATATCTGGACTGATTGGTTCCTTCTCCATTCTTGCAGTTTTGTATTTCTTTTCCTTTCCCTCCTGAGCCCATTTAGAGATACTTTAATTAGAACCACAAAACCAGAGTCCTCTGGCTTTTGGCTTTATTTGCAGGTTTGTAGAAAGTGGGTGTTTTCTTGTTTTGCCTGAAGCAATGAAGAAAATAAAATAAGTTGTAAGGTATGGTATGGTTAAGATTATATTTCTGAAACTTAACATCTTCCCAGAGGAATAAAATTCAAGCCTTAGATTGTAACTGTTAGCTGCTGGAGCTTAAAAAAATAAGTACAACTCTCTGGATCTTTAGTGATTTTTTTTTTTTTTCTTTTTATTTATTCAGCCTCTGGATCAGATTGCAAAATACATATCGGGGCAAGGAATTCCATTTCCCAAAATTGAGATAAGTGATGAAGACAGGGAAAACTTGAAGGAATGTTATGTTTTTGAAGATGCTGACAGTCCACAAGTTCCAACGGTGCTCTTTTTCCCCTTAGTGAATGATACCTTCAAGAATTACAAAGCTCCTGGTGAGTCACCTGTATCTTCCAATTTTAATAAAGAGTTACTTGTCTGGTGTGCCCTCTCCATCTCATATCTAACCTCTCACTGGTTATCTCTGACATTCTTTCTAATGCTGACACAGTCTCATCGCTGACACTCTGTACTAGTGTCTCTGAACCAAGCAAACCACAGAAACTCATCTAATACATTTAGGATGAAAACAGGCATTTATTCCACGGAATTGCTTGAGATAGCAAGAAGGTAAATCTTCCAAAATATACAGCATGGGTAACAGGTTATCAAGCTGTTACACTATATTGACATGCACTTCTTACGCACCAGTGCTTGCTAAAACAAATGAAACCTTTTATAGGTTTTGGTGGTAGTCTGGTAGTCTATCTTCTTCCCAATTCAGAACTGAATGGATTGGGATTTTTTCTTTTTCTTTTTTTACGTATGAACTGAACCTCTCTCTGAGGGTTATCATTTATCCCAATCTTCCAGTAGCATTGCTATTCCATCCAGTACAAGATTGTTTTCCTTCTGCTTCCTCATTGCTACTTTGAACAACAAAGACTTCATTGCCCTCTGGCAAATCACTTCTTACCCCTCAAATCTCCTTTTTCTATCTAAAATTACTTAAACAATTGATATGAACTACATGCTCTGTTAAAATCTTACTGTTGCCTCTTGTGGTTTTTCCCTCAGGTGTGGAAAGGAGTCCTGAAGAGATGGCTGAAGGCAGAGTTGATGTTTGTAGTATCCTTTCCCCATTTACAACAAGGGAAGTCTGTTTCAGTGAAGAGAATTTTGACAAACTGGTGAAACTGACTGATTACAATGTCCTGAATAATGAAAAGTTGATTATTCAGGCCTTGCGCACAGCAGTGGCACGGAGGAAGCAGAGGAATTACTAGCCACCATTTGCTAACTTTAAACTCCCATATTTCTTGGGTTGTCTGTCATCTAGTGAGATTAAAATGTTTGATGCTTGCCACTCTAATCTGTGGTCGAAATTGCATCACCCCTTGGAATTGCTGGACTCCATTCTATTTAAGTGACTGTTCAGATGGGCAGAATGGAATTTACAGTGGTTTAATCCAAAAGAAACTTCAACAAATTTCCATTTAGTTTTGTTACCTTGTTATTTTGCCAATGGAGATATATATATAATATAATTTAATATAGTGTTTTCTGTGATTACAATGAAATATGTAGCACATTAAAAATGTGAATCAAACCAAAACTCATACGTTTTTCTGTCTGGCCAAGCAGCAATCCCTGAAACTGGTATCTCTCTGTTCATGAGCTTGTTGATTGTGTTGGTCTTGCTTATCTTAATCATTGACACTATGAAGTTTGTCATCTCTTATGTGATTGTCTGCTATGAGATTTTTAAAAATTCAACTGGCTTTCTTCACTAGTCTTTGAAAATAAGTGTTTTTTTCAAGTTACTACCAGTGTTAAAAATAATCTATGAAGTTTTGACCATCTATTAAAAGAAAACCCAAACAACTCTGAGTTAAGTCATCCTTGTTTCATACTGTCATAATTGTCCTTTAAAATGCTATTCACAGAACCACTTTTATTCAGCTTAAGTAGTTGCTGCATTTCCCAACTCCTTTGATTTTTCTCTTGGAGTTGCTGCCTGTTCTCTCTCTCATCTTCACCTGCCTTGAATGTTCCTGTCAGCAGTCCATCTTCCAGTGTTTCAGAGGATGGGAAGTGGCTGATAGCTGGTGCATAGAATACGGCAATGCAAGAAGACCTTTTGAGCAACCTTACAGATACAGTTTTTGTAACTGTTCAGTATTTTCCTGCAAATAGTCTTTTGTAAAGATTGTGCTGAAAGAGTGATTTCCCCATCATCAAAAATTCTAAAAGGCCCTCTGAGGGAAGCTAGTTGCCAGAGGCAATCTTCTCACAGTTCTGCAATGGGTAGATCACAAATTCTTTCTCAACAGCAGCTCTACGCTGTGATACATGAAGAAACTGCTCACAGCAGCTCAAATAATGCTTGGGATTGTCTCGCTTTTGGTAATAAAAGAGGAATAATAAAAGGATGTGGTGTAACCCTGTTTCCAGGTGCAGTATTGCATGTTGAAATTCAGATTATTAGCCCTGCATGTTATGAGGCAACTGTAATTGTGATTCAGCTCCAGAACACTAGAATAAGCTCAAGGGATACTTCTGGGTCTTTCTGAGATATCAGTTTGACTTGTGGTTTCTAGGACTTCTGGGAGGAAATGAAGCAGAGGCAAAGGGTAGAAGCTCTTTCTATCTGTTTTACAGGGAAAACTTAACAACAGGAGAGAAAAAAAGCCAGATAGGTGCGTGACACAACCTGATCCTCGTTAACCAACATTTTCATCAGGATTAATTAGTCCATTTCCTAAGTAACTATGACGAATTGTTGCAAAGACGTAACAGTGTTGCTTCCTGAGTCAGCCTTGGGGTATCTCTGCATTGTGTCCTGCTCATAGGAAACTTGCCTTTCTGTCTCTGAGGGGGTTCCTTCTGCACTCAGATTGCTCCATGATGCTTCCCTTTATCTTCCCACTGCTTCAATATCATCTGTTCAAAACAGTGTGCCCAAAATGTTTATTTTCCTGATAAAACTAATTAAGCCTGCAATAGACTTAAAACTGAACTGTTTGCAATCTTTTGGGGATTATTTCCTTCGACTGCTGCTTTTTGTTGCATCCAGTTCTTACCTTAGAGTATTTTTGAATGTCAAACATCTTACTGAATTCAAGTTATATAATATCTGTGGAATTACCTTAATCAATTATCATTTCATTGCAAAGTGAAATGAAATTTTGAGTTCATTTTTTTAAATTAAATTTCATAATAGCAAGGAAGTTCTTTTTTTTTAAAGTAAGTCTTCCATTTCATTATCTGCTATATATTCACTTTAAGCACTGGGATGATTTCACATGATGCTAATGGTGACCTGCAGAGCGAGGTCTTATAAATGCAGGGATATAAGATTATGCTAGAACATGAAGAATAAGTAACATTAATTTCAAGTGACATCATCCAAATATATTATCTTTGAGATCATTCAAACTCTTGAGAAAGTGAGTGAGCCTTTAAAGCTTTGCCTCTAACATGGAAATTCTCTTGCAGTCTTAACAGCTATTTGGAAATTTTTTGGCAATATTTTTCACTGCAGTAACTACTTGGCTGAAAGACCAGCTTACTGCCTGAGAACACCATGGAAGCTGAGGTAGGGATGAAAAATCATCTTTTTCATATGTCTTTAAGTAAATACCCACCCATAGGCAATAAAAAGCTACAAAAACTCTTTTGCATTCTTAATGACTTGTTTGGATGTTCTGGGCCAAGGAAGCCATGTGCAGCTGGACGGACCCTTGTTGGTGCAGCTGATTTTGCACAGGAGGATGCATTCTGACAGCCCTCTGGTATGCAAGAGCTGTGTAGCCTCCTTAAAACCTACAAAGGAAAGATCCCTGCTGGGTGTTGACACCACTCTAACTGCGGCTGGGAAGAGTATCCTGCTGGGGTATCTGTGTGTCACCTGCCAGCAGTGAGGAGGAGGAGCTGGAGATTGCTCAAGGCTGGTGGCTGGGGCGAGGCTGGAACTGAGTCAGGCATCCACACACCTGCCTGTCTGCTCCAGGCAGCTTAAAGCACTAGAAGATTTGGGTGCTCCTCAGTACCCATTCGCTGCTGCATTTCACACCTGGTTTGAACGCAGAGGAGACCACGATGGGGGTGTTTTACAGCACAAGCCAGGTAAGGAAAGGGAAAAGGAGGTTCTGGGATGCACTGTCCAGGCAACGTTAATGGCAGATGGGACCTCGTGTAGGAGCATTGTTCAGCTCTGAGATTCCTTCTTCAGCACCTGGGCTGACAGCAATGAGTGGCTTCTATCTGGGTTTTGTGCTCACTTTGATTTTTGCTTTGAGGAATCCAAGGGCTTTCATACTTTTGTACTATATTTTGTAAATGCCCAATTTATATATTGTTGCTGTCTTTAACTCTCATCCAGTGGGATCTAGCAAAACAACCCACTGATGAAAACTATAGAGATGTAACTTATGTGAATGAGCGCAGAGGAATAGCCAGAAAGGTGTTAAATGTGGGCTCTCCTAGAAATTGTGGGAGTCTGTGGGCATTAGCGAATGGATGGTGACACAGAAGGCTTTCATTTTTATATGTGGATCTACATACTTGTGGCACTGATACTCCCTGCTCAATGAGTAGCGTGCATGAGCTCTCCCATAAATTTGTTACAAAAATATGGTCTTTTTTCTTCCAATTTTTTTTGCTGTTGGTGCTTGTTTTCTTTGGTTGGCTCAGAGTGTTAAATTGCAGAGTTTTTTCTCCTTTCATTCCTTTAAAAAAAGAGAATTGTCTAGGGAGCAACTTCAGCCCCCCATACATTTCATTAAGTATTGTGTTTGTCCACTCCTTGCTCGACAAAATCAAACCAGTTGCCTGGCAGGTTTGTTAAATATCTTTTGATCACCACCTAGGTATATGTGGTATCCTAGGATTTCCAATGACGCTTTCCTGTGTCACTGCATAAAGGAGTTTTGGATAAGCTGAATTATTCTGAGAGAAATAATTACAGAACTGTTTCTTTTACTGCCCCCTTCAGAGAAGTTTGGAATGGGTTCCTGGAAGACATTTTTCAGGTCCTCATTTTCTGAAAGCCAATGATGATCTATATTAAACATAACAGTGGAGGTATATAGCTATATACCAGCTGACACGCAATGTTACAACATCATGATATCATTACTAATTCCTGCTTTGCTAGATTGACCACTATTTGTTGTGAAATAAAGTAGATCTCTATAACATACTTTGCATTGCACAGACCAAGATGTATATCAGTTGTATTAATACAACGCAGTGAGGCTCACTATTTTTCAGTGGTTGGGTTGTAAGAGTAAGTCAACAACTACAATCTGAGGAGTTCCATGAGTTTCCTCAGAATGAAAAATGGAGGACAGTGGAGATTTGGTCTGTGGCTGAGTGTACATCTAGGGACTTTGGCCACACCTGGCTGTAAACCTTCTGGGAGGACAGAGAAGATGATGCACAAGGAAGAACAACTTGGGTCTAGAAATTTTTTTGTGGTTGATATTGAAACATTTAATTCAACACTGTATCTGACTGTGCTTCTGTTCTTTCTCTCTACGTGATAATCCCGTGTATTTTGTACTCTGCTCTTCTATAGACAGAACCCTCTCCATGCAACTTACTCACCGTAAAAATCATACGGATGAAAAATGCCAGGAAAGCAGACTTGTGTGAGTATCTTTATATACCTATTGAGTATGCATGTGCTTGTAAGGCTATTTGAAATGTGGAAAACATCACAGAACATTTCTAAAAGGAGAGAGGCAGAGATGTTTGACTGTGGTTGGTGAAGATGAAGTAGCATAGTTCACATTATTTATTCTTAGATTTCTGTCAGCGTAATACTGAAGACCAGCCATCAGCTCTGTGTGGTTCATATCTGTTTGCACAGAATGCATTAAATGTAGATTCAATTGTGAAAAAAAGTAACGATATTTATTTGAAGGAAATAGTGTATGAAGAAATTTAGATGAGGGCACTTCTTTCTATGGTTGCTTCTTACACTAATGTCCAACCTATCCATTGCACAGAATATTTTATATGTGTTCAAGAGTGGATATTTGATATCTCTAATTGGACTCATCTTTCATGGAAAAGTGTGGTTAGACATTGTGACAGATTGCCTGGGGAAGTGGTGGAGTCACTATCCCTGGATGTATTTAGCAGCTGTGTAGATGCAATGCTTGGGGACATGGTTTAGGGGTGGACCTTGGTTTGTTAGGTGCTGGTTAATCTTTATTTAATGGATCTTGTCCAGCTGATATGATTCTATCATTCTGTGTCTGTTGCATTTGATTCAGCCATAGGAGATATACGTTTCAAACCATAGTAGAGGACTTTCACTATTAGCTGTTTCTGTTATTGGTAATTTTTTCAACCTGTTCAGAAGTTGACAAGTATATAAACATTTATTAATGCTCTGCAAATTCTGACCAGCAAAGCACTAGAGAAGAAGGTGAGACAACCACTTCCGTTCTGAGTAGCTGGCTGATTATCTTGCATTTATTCACTTATATGGATAGGAAGGTCTCAGTCTGGAATGTTTCTGTATAAACCAGACCAAGTTAAATTTGTTGAGTTAAAATGATGCAGGTCTGTAGCTCTACAAAAGATAAGTTTGGGCCTTTCTGTAGTACTGCTATTGTTCTTTAGAACCCAAACATGTATGAAGAGCAGTTTATCATTCTATTTTTTTTTCTGAAGAGAAGCAAGATAAATTCTTGTTGAATGTATGGGGAAGAAGAGTCTGTATTAACTTATTTCTAATGTGTGGAAAGGTGATCTGAAGTTCATTTAAAGGCTGGAGCAAAATCTCTTGTTACAGCTAAAACCAAACTGAAAGAACAAAGGCTCTAAGGCTCTGAAAGGAAAGAAAGAGGAGAGATAAATCGGGCCCTTAGATATATTCCCTGATTATCATGTTCTGTCATCTGTATGATAGTGATCTTACTGAATTTACTTTCTGCCTTTTCCTCCTCTCCACCAACAAATTTTGCTTCTGGTTTCAAACTATTTTGACTTCGAAAGGAGTTGCCTGTTTTGCTGCTCTCCTTCCAAACAGTTGAAATTTTTAGTGCCAGGTACTGAGTTGGTTGAACATTTCAGCTTGCTGGTATGAGGCAGTTCATCCAGTCCCTACCTCTACTCAAAGGAGAGGTTTGGATGGCTGCGATGTTTACAGGGCATGCCCTGGGGTCTGGAGCAGCACAGGCTCTCCAAGCTGATGTTATTTTGCATTACACTGCGAAACTTGTACTGGATGTCATCTGCAAAACGGGGAAACAAGCATTTCACCACCAATATTGCCAAGCTATTATCTGCTTGAAATGGTCATGTCAGTCAAACCCTGACTAACCCGTGCCTAAAATGCCACGGACAAAATAAATACCATGCTTGTAAAGGTGAATGCTTTGTTAATTGGGTATTTCCATCATTTGCAAAGAGAATCTCTGAAAGAACTGTCCAAGATACAGAAGAGAAGTTAGGAATAATGTTTGGATATAAAATAAACACCTTTCCTGTCAGGCAGGGCAGTTAGTCTTTTGGTATCCATACTGGCATGCTAGGAGATGCACAGCCTGAATCTACCAAATAATGCCAGCCTGTGAGCAAGACATTTTGTGAGTCTAAGTGAACTGCAGCCTCTGCTTAGAGGATGGCAATGAAAGGAGAATTATGTGTGTCTGCTTATTAGTTCTCGTGACTAGGATTTCTTTTGTTATCACTCCTGGAGTGCAGGGCCCAGTGCCAAAAATCACATCCTCTCCTCTATACTAGGCTTTGTACCCAGGACCTTGTATTTTACAGAATTACAGAATTGTACCAGTCATGACACTGCCTTGCATATACTTGATTTCTGAGTCTGGTTTTGATGATATCTGCTTATTTCCAATTTATCTGAAAATTTTGCTTTCAAGCCACTTCAGCCTGTAGTTTGCTATACAGTCAGACTTGTAAAAGTCATACATTTCAATTATACACTCTTCGTCATAACAAATAACACTGTGATTCAATTTTATTTTTTTAAATAATGACTTTCACATCTGGATAGTCAGTAGCAATGGAAAAGCTAGTGCAAGTTTCCTGTTTGTAACTATGTGGCTTTCTGTGAGAAGAAATAAATGGGAGTCTTAAGATGGAAAATGCACCACTTTTGCAATGTTTAGTTACTTTTTTGTGTATACCTCTGGGGAATATATTTTTCTGTCACATTTATAATCACCTAGAGATTAGTTTGACACACTTAGGAAACCCCAAAGCGTGTGAGCTTCCATCCCCAGCTACGCTGACTTCTTTACTGTACCATTTTTTTAATGATTTTTTTTTTCTCATTAGTGCTTTTCAAGCTTTTTTTTTTTTTTAATAGCTGAAAACCTTTCTGAATAGAACAGGATGGCAAGTGTCACCTATTTCCCAGCCATCTTAAACAATTTCAGTATCTAAAATCAGCTCTTCCTGCTTCTTCCAGGTGTGCTTATCCTTTTTTTAAGAAGTTAATTCCATTTTGTTATATTCTCCTCTGAAGATCCTTCTTTGCACTACTTCTGTACAGTCTTAGCATCACTTTGTTTAATACTCATCTAGTGCTTAGTCATTCTTGTATTGGGGTACTATGAGTTAATTTCATTATCGCTCTATCTGCTTCATCTTCTAGACAGTAAATGGAAATGGGAAAACCAATCCATCACAATAGTCTCAAAACTTCAATAGCGTCAACTACAGAACAGGTATTACAAGACTTTTACTGGAATTTCAAAGAGAATTTAAATTACTTTCAATCTTTTAACTCCTTGTCTTTTTTAATACATCCTCATACTATTTCATCTCTTTTTACCACTAATCCATCAATGTGTAAATAATACATCAACACTGATTTCCATTTGGGTATTCATGCATCACTGATGTCCTCTGTGACTTTGGTGCCATGTTTGTGATTTGCACATCTCCTCTTCCCACTGAGAACACCCACATCCCCATCAGACTCATTGGAGTCATTAATATTCTTGGACCAGCAAACACTTGCCAGTTCCCAGAGTTGGGGGTGTACCTTGTCTGCATCCTGACTCCTCAATAGGGTGAGACTTGGATGTGCATCAATCCAATCCAACCTTAAAAACAGGACTTTCTCTGTGGATAATTTCAAATTTCATGCTCAGCCTGTTCAAGTACATGGATTTCAAAAGTTTGTGTAGGTTCAAGATAGAGATTAACCATGTTTACAGAAGAAGAAAAAAAAAGCAGCAAAGGTTGGCTTAGAAAGTCTCTGAAAATAAAACTGTGAGGACAGAGAGCGCTGTGTGATCTTTACCCTTTTCTTATGCACTTAAATGCCCGTCAAATATGGGGCATGGTCTTCTCTGGCACTTATTTCCATTCCTAACAGGATGAAAAATCCTTCTCCCAGAAAAGGGATAAAAGAACTAAAGAAAAAGATCCTGTAGAGAAGCAAATTCATTAAGAGGAATTAAATAAAAACAAACAAAACACAACTGTTGAGTATTAAACAAAAAGCTAAAAGTAGGGAGCTGGAGAGAAATGCTGAGATGAATGTTTCCAAGCCATCATTATCTGCTTCTGAAAGCATTCCAGAGCCCCAGTAAATACAGAAAGACACTGGGCTAAATGGACCTTGGCTGTTATAGAACTAAGTAAATTCTTCAGCATTTTCTTGGTGAAATAAGGATCTTTTGTGAATGTCTTGGTGGAAAAAGTGGGGAGGGAAAAGCAGACTTTTATTTTTTAATATATTACTTGACTTGTCAGTTTTGAAAAATATCAGGTTTGGGATTTTTTTTAATTTAAGGCCTATGTTATTTTGGATGGAATATTTTATAAGATTATGAAGTATAGTTTATATTTTTTATTTTAAAACACATTTTACAGCATTGCAGTAGCAGTTCTGTTATATGTGAAATCAAGTTGTGGGAAAGGTCATTGAGACTCTGAAATGAAATATAGCTGGTGAAATATCTTATTGTTTGAAGATCTGTGGTTCAATCTGATACTTATTACAGGAAACCGCAGACTTCCTCTGGTGTTTGGTTCTTGCACTAAATTATTATTTCATTGTTATTTATTACTTACTTCACCATGATATTTAAGCAGTTGCCATTATATACCATTGTTCTAGATGCTGCTTGAAATCCTGCTTAATAATAAGAGGATGTGGATAAGGAAAAAAAATAGAGAAAAATAGTGAGGTTGTTATTTGGTAGAATCTCAGCAAGTAATGGGTGTGAATGACAATAGCAATACAGCTTTCTTTACAGTGTGCCACCCTATGTGAAGGCCAAGGTGTGAATGTGTGAGAAAACTTTTTATTGAAGTTTAGTTATAGGTGATGGAGATTAACATTAAAAATTGCCTGGAGGAAGGAAACGCTCTCCCAGGCCTGTCTGAATTATGACAGTTATAATGTATAGGGCCTTGGAAACAAAGGCATTTGTTTCCACAGAAGCAGCCCATGTCCTTCTTATTAAAAAGAAGCAACAACACAAAACCAGACAAAGCAAAAAACCCTCAGTGATCTAAATGATCTAATAATTTGCATTTTAGAAAACGGCACTGTTAATCTACCCATCCACAGCCATATCTCTACTCAGATCCCCAGTGTTGGATGAAGAGCAAAAATGCATTTCTTTGCAGGTGCTGATAGTCTGTATTTCATGAGATGGTCCAAATGAAGGACATCCGTGACCACGGTAATGATTTGGGCAAACGGATCAATATTTGAGACCACATTCTTGTTTTCAGCACAATAAAAAAAACTATACTTTGAGAGCCATAAGAAAACCTTTCCCCTAGAGTTGGCCTCCATTTGTGTGCTTACAGGCAGTCCAAGAGGAGGAGGATGCCCAGATTGCTGTTCGTGAAGGCTGGAAGTTGTATCTGTTAATATCAAAAATAGGATAAACTACGTATTTTAGCCAGAACAGCTGGTGCCCTGCTGTTGTCTGAGCTGCAGCATGGTACTGGGACCATGGTGTTTTTTAGCATGGGTCATGCAGCTGTAATGCTTTCTAATGGCAAAGTGCAATTAGGATCCAGTCCTGCAGCTATCCTGGAAGATAATTAGAAACGTAGTGTAATAATGGCATAAAGACTGTACTTTCATAAGCACCTGCTGCCACACCTGCTTCTGGCAGGATATTGCCCCACGTTGTACTACAGCTGTCACCTCCAGTACATTTCAACAGCTGCTCATGTGTCATGGTTGAGGGGAGGGACACCAGTTGCTGCTGGGAAGTTCTGCTGTGTACGTCATATGAGCATCATCACTGCTGTTGCCCTTCTGTAGTCAGGTGGTGTTTAGGTTAAACACTACCTACATACTAGAATAATGAGGATTTGCACACACGTGCCTGCTAAAGAGAGCCTTGTATGTATAAATGAAAAGACTCTCAATATAAGGCAGTGTAGTTTTCTGCTGCACCAATGATGGACAGAGTGGAGTGTCAGTCCTCACATCTATTTGTACATAGAGTGGATCAAGCACAGTATCAAGGTTACTCACAAACTTGAGTAGATCCTTCTGATCCTCTGAGATCTGATGGGAGAGAGTGTATATATATATATATATATTTAATATACCAGAACAATTTTAATCAAAGTTACTCTTTTTTCTGTCAGTTTCTTAGACAAAAATGACTTAAATCTCAGGGCAGTCATTCTGCCTCTCCCCCTCCCCCCCAAAAAAAAGAAAAAAAAGAAAAAGAGTTGACTAATTCTTCAGTTACACATCGCTAAGGGCCATGTCAATGACTCTGCATTTCCCAAAAGTCAAGTCTACTGGTAAAACTAAGTGGGACAATACTAAATGTAGTCAGATGAGGGTGTGTCTGCTGTGTGGTTCAAGGAATGCTTGAGTAGGTGGCATTAAAAATAGAGAAAATATAATGCTAATGATGAGATTGACATCTGTGGGCAATACTGTGCCCATGCTATCTTTGGCATTTATGTGGTTTGTTGCTCCTAATTAATAAACTGTGTTCTGTAGGGTGGTCATCCTTGACTTCGGCGCATGGATCCAAAGGATTGTAAATCTCATGATTCACATTTACTTTTTACTACTTAATGATCATGACAAAAAAGCATTCCAGGCAGAAATGATGATCAAAGCACTGTAGATAGCTGCTAACCACTGCTTCATACCAAAACTTTGGTCCCAAACATCTCTCGCTTACAAAGTAGCTCACGTGGGAAGCCAAATGCTACAGCTGAGCATTTCAACTGGAAAAGGGAATTTAAAACCCTAAAGCTCCCTTCCTTAATACCTGGGCACACAGAAATTCATAGCCAAATTTTATGACCTTGATTAAAAAAAACAAGGCAAGAACAATGCAATCTTGTGCAAAGTATTAACGTCACCTCACTTTGTGCTGGAAAGCACGGACAGGATTTCACCTGCCCGTTGTGTTGCAAATGCTGTTACTACTCTCTCCACTATTACCTTTGGTCATATAGTACTGACTTAATGACATCTTATCTGGCCTCCCAGCTTGCAGTCTGCCTTGTGAACTCAAAAATTCAATCAGTGCAACACTTCATGGGGTGCTAAATGTGGCTTACTGATCTGTTACTTTCATACTTTCTTCCACAGTAACCCAGTCGGATTGCTATGTGAGCCTGAGACTGCCAACAGCCTCGGTGCAGAATTTCCGAACCAAAACAATTCCTAACACCAAGAACCCAACATGGAATGAGACCTTCCACTTTATGATTCAGAGCCAGGTTAAGGTAGGAAATGTGCTGTGTTAGCACTTACTCTCTAGCCGTCTCCTGATTATTAGGCTGAAGATAGAAGCCCAGATGCCTTCTTAAATAGAACCATAGCCGCACATACTGTGTGTCTTCTTAAGTGTTCTTTCTTATGAATCACTCACACTGCCTTGTAGTTACTTAGCTTTCAATACATGAATTAGATTGTTCCTGAATTGTGAGTAGAGCCTGTAGAGACGAACTGTAAAACTGTAAAACACTGTTTCCTTTGCATTCATTCTGGAAGTTCTTACCCAAATTCTTCCAGCTAAACAGAACTACCTGTATTATCTTATTCCTATAAAAACTTTTACACAATCTGTTTTTCATATTTCCAGAACATTCTGGAGCTGAAAGTTTGTGATGAGGACAATGTAACTCAAGATGACCATCTCCTCACTGTTTTCTTTGATGTCTCCAAAATCCAGCTTGGAGAAAACATTCAGCTGAGTTTCCAGCTGAATCCACAGGTATGGATAAATTTCAAAGACAAAACTAAGAGAACATGGTTAGGTGAGAATGTGTTTTTCTCAGCTTTTCTCTCATCTGTTTGGTATATTTTTTACTGTCCATTTAGCCAGTGGAGTAAATTCATCTGTTTCAGGGAATGCTGAAGGCTCTTTTTCCTGTAATTACAGTGAATCTGGGATGCTATTTTTGCAGATAGCAATGTTATCAGACTTGCTTGGTAGCTCTACTTGATGTCAAAATGTTGAGAGATTTAGTCAGACCTTTGCAGTTGGAGTTCAAGGTTCTGATGAAGTTGAGACAATCTCATACTAAGGTTTTAATGATGATGTTTACGCCTGGAAATACATCATTTGTGTGAGTGCTGATTTGATTTGATAACTGTTTTGGAAAGGCTCTCTGTACTGTCTTCCTTCATGCTGGCTCTAGAAGGCCATTAGGGACATAGAGTTGCACCAAAACCTGCAAAGGAGGATTGCAAAAGATGAAGACTGAGCATGAAATTGGACTCTACCCAACAAAAGTTCATTTTCCAGAGCACCCTGGGCTTTATACATGTTAGTATGCCACCATGTTAGTGTGCAATCAGGCCCATTTATACAGGTTGTGGGTGAGGCTAGGAGAGGGACAGGATGGTTTAAAAGCACCAAAGAAATTCAGTATTTCTCATGCTGAGAGTTAGTGGGGAGCACTGAGAGTTTCTGGCAGGGGAAGAGGAACTGCAGGTGGTCTGTGAGTAGTGAGGATGAATGTATGCCTATGGAAAGGCAAAGGAATTGTCAAGAGGTCCTGTAAGATGTGTTCATGTTTGGCCTACAAGGTGTAAACTGGAAGCCTGCTGATATAATTCCTACAAAATTCAGTGTATGCAACATTAAATTTAATGGATGCCACACAAGGAAAATGAAATCTGTTGCACGTGCAGTAGCTAAAGGTGGATGCTGGCTCGCTGAAGAGCACAGATTCCTACAGAGTGTCTTTCTGCACAGGAGAATCATGTAGTGACTGTCTTTTCTTAATTTCTCAGGGAAAAGAGGAGCTGGAGGTTGAATTCACGATGGAGAGTAGGTAAGTTTTAAATAGATGAACAATAGAGGAACTCAAAGAGGAAATGTTTCTGGTACAAAATACTGCTTACACTTGCAGCCCCCTAACACTGTCATTGTCTGAATAAAACAGATGGGAACTTCAGGTGCTCAGGAAATGCTTGTGTACGATGACATTTAAGAAAGAGGTGCATGGCAGTGTGTGATGTGTGTGCATCAACACTGAGCATATTGAGACACTAGAGCACTGTCACTGACAGGAGCACAGAGACCTTCCTGGTAGCTGATGCTCCCTAGGCTGCAGGGACGTTCAGTGCAGCAGGACATTTTAAGTTTTAAACCTGCTCTGCTCCTTACTGTCAGTTCCCAGACGCTTGCTTTGTTGTGAGAATGTGGGAAAATGTCACTTAAAATTTTAACAGTGCAAATAGATCTACAAATATTTTTACTGTATTTTTATGCTGACTGTACAGTTAATGGAGAAAATGGGCAAGTAAATCAGTCCTAGTGCTGCTGTTGATTTTTAAGGTAAATTGTAGGGTTTTTTTTTTCTTTTTTTATTATGGCATGTTGGATGAATTCACCAGCTTTTCAGCTGTGGTCCCCCAGGTTTATGCCTGAACAACACAAGCCAATAGTGTAATTCTGCCATTTCCGTAAATTTACTTATTTACATCAGAAAATGATCCTATCTGATGTAATGAGGAGCTCTGCTACTCAGCAGCTCTTCACAAATAGAGCAGCCCAGGCTTACCATTCAGACTCAGGCTTGTAAGAGGCAGACTGGATTGATGCCCAGGTAGAGTTTAATGTGCCCATGTTGGCTGCCCAAAGACAGGTTTTTAAAGATAGAGAAATAATGATGAAGGAAAAGAAGAATTTGGAGAGTGCTAGTTGTGAACTGATTGTTTTCCATTTTGTCTTTCAGTCCGGATCCTCCTGAAAACATTGTTACTAATGGCGTTTTAGTGGTAATTTTTATTTCCTAACCCATTTCCTTCTGTAGGGCCATATTTACTGCTATGCTGACGCTAATGGTGCTGGGCAGTTGCTTCATAGGTTGGTATGGAGGCATTAGCTGTGGGCAGGCCCTAACAGAGCATGGTGAGGTGGACATCCATCTATTCCATTCTGTCTGGTTACAGCTGGGCTGAGCATCCTCCCTGGGGCACCCATCCCACTTCATCCTGATGCCAAATGCCACCCTCCTGGGCCTGGTAGGGGTGGTGAACAGATCAAGCATATGCCCACGGGTCTGGCTAAAGCTAAGCTCAGCCAGTAGTGAATACCTTTTTCCTTTTCCCTCACTGTCTCTTCCAGTCCCGTGAAGTTGCTTGTCTGGATGTGCAGGTGAATGGTGGCAGGCTGAGGAAGGATAGCACAGGTGAGTCTTCGCTGATTTATGAAGAGTGCGTTATGGCAAAAGCACTCAGCATTTCACCCCTGAACTGCCCTGTTTAAAATGACTGAAAATGCAAGGCAAAATTTCAGCAACATCAGTGGCCTCTGGAGTGGGCTGCAATTGGTCAAAACTAGTGAGCGCACTGTGAAGAGTTTGTGATCTGATTTTCCTGCAAGAAGACTTTCCCCTGTAATAACCTCTTGTCAGATGGCTATGACTTTCCAAAATGTTTGTGTACAGCATTGAAGTTTTCTAAGCTCTGAAGTAGAGCAAAATCTCCCTGTCTTCAGAAGCAAAGATAAGCATTAGGATTCTTTCCTCAAATTTCACACTTAAAAATTTCTTTTATGTGTAACAATACAAAATATGCCACTAGGTGAAAGATGAGAGGCACAGTATATTACCAAGGGTACCTGTTGCACATTATAATCAGCACATCACTGCTGTGTTGAGCCTGTGCTTGTAGGCCTGTGTATGCCCTATGCAATTTTTAAAACATCATGCTCTGACACCTCCTAATACTCTCACACTGAAAAGCACGTTTTTTGAGAAACTTAAAGACTCCTTTTTAGTTCTCAGCATAATTTACTTGCAGGGTGTCGTAAACAACCTTGGATCCCCCTGACTACCGGTGGGGATCAGATTCCCGACATGAAGGAGGTTTCCTTGTAGTTATGAAGTACAGACAGTAATAGAGTTGTTTTGGGTATTATTAACTTTAAGATAGCAAAGACTGTTCATGAGGACGTGATGTTTGTTCTGCCATCTCTTCAGAGAGGAAATTTGCGCTGACAGTGGATGGCTCGTATGAGGGGATGCAGACCCACACGCTGAGATCATGCCTGTGTGCAGCCGCACCAGCGAGGTTCCACTACATCAAACACCATCAGTCGGCACTGACTGTGTCACTGCCACAGCGCAGGCGGCTCAGCAGGGTACGTGGTCAGCCATAATGGGCAGATTATTCTACATGCTGTTTGTTTGGGGACCTCTGAGGTCTGTGTCATGCACATCTGTGTAGGCAGAGGATGAGAAGAAAGTGTGTGAATGTGAGGCTGGAGAGACTGCTCTTTTTCCCCTTGTGTAACTATTATTATTGCATTTTTACCTTTTTTTTTTTTTCCTTTTCAGTCTGTATCAAGTCAAAATGAAAGGGATATGAATGAGTCTGTGACTCTACCCCTGAACTTGCTTCCTATACAAGAGAAAATAACTATAGCAGAGGTGAGAACAAGTATTTCTTATAAAATCCAGTCCAACTTATGCTCAGTTTGGTAGGTGACATGAATTTTACTCTTCAGTTATTCAGCTCCAGTCAGACACATGTTACATTTGTAAAGTGAGAATAACAGTTGCTCACTGTGTAGCTATGCAATGTTTATTTGTTGGTTTTGATTGTTCTGCATGTAATTCCAGGCACACTTTTCAATTCTGTTCTGAGCTTAAGCTGATTTCCCCAGGACATATATAATACAATCATCAATGCTGCGTGTGAGCTAACAATAATAGATAAGACGCTTAAGGCTGATAATTTGCAGAGGGGAAGTCTAAAGCAGAAGGTAAAACAGAGAACATAAACATGCCTGTGGTTCAGGTGCCTCTCTTTCAATGAGCTCCCTTGAAGACAAAGGGAAACTAAATGTTCATCCATGCAAAGTGGAGGGGCCCTATTTCTATCCAGCCCAGATTGCACTGGAACCCATTATTGATCTCAAAACCCAGACAATTGCTGGCCAGATCCTGCAGCAAATGCAGTAAAACTCAGCCTGTAGATGGTGAGGGTGAGGAAGATGAAGGATTAATGACCTGAATGTGCTTACAGTGTTTGTATTGTGATTTTCAGGACAGGACAATTGACTTGTATGCAAAAGCAAATGAATGGTAAGTAAGTTTTCAGCAAGGCCTGATGCTGTAACTGGGAGTCACTTGCACATACACATCTGAAATCAGCAGGGGGCCATGCAGGCTCAGTTGCAAGCAGAGATTGTTTTTGTGTGCAAGATTCTCCTTTTTCAGAGATGGATAACTAAATCAGGAGTCCCTTTCCCTTTGAGTTTCAGAACTGTGCACTGTAATGCCCATGGATTGAGAGAGCAGCTCCACACAGAAATCATATTTCCATATAATACAAACAAAATAAATCCAAGGCACGGAAGCTGTTTCCCTAATTAGCTACAGTGCCTGCTGATGGTGGTTATCTTGTTACGGGCACATATGGTAGGCAGTACTGAAAATTGAAAAATCAATTATATGAGCAAACAAACAGAAGCTTGCTGTAGGAAATTCATTACAACACCAGGGCAGTATGAAGTGTTCTGTCTTTATTCCTATTTGCGTTTTTAGTAAAAGCAGAGGCAATTAGCAGAATTCTGTCTGTGTTGTTGCACTTTCTCATTTATTCCTTTACTGTTCATGTACCAATCTATAAACACAACTGGGATGACTACCGCAAGCAATAGCATGTAATATTTGTGCCCTGGTCTCAGGACCCAGGGTTTGTGCTTCATGCCAAGAAACCTAGATGCCCGTCTGGGTTTTGACCTGTGCACGGATGAAAAGAACTTCCTGCAAAATCGGAGAAAGGTGGTTGCTGCTGCACTGAAGGATGTTCTTCATCTGGAAGAGGACCTACAAGACCATGAGGTAACTAGGAAATACAGTGCTTGGGGATTTCTCTTTCCTTTCCCTTAGGTCTTGAAATGGCAACAGAAGCAAGGCCTCTGTCAGCAACTGCTTCTCTTAGGCTCTGTTTGCAGAGCCTGGACAGCTCAACAGACTGCAAATAAGAGCAAATACTCTATTTTCAGCTGACATGATGGGGCTGGGTTGATGGTCTTTTCCAACCTAAGTGATTCTATGATTCCATGTGTCTTGGTGTTGCATTAACATGACTGTCTTCTTTTGATGCAAAGGCCCCTGATGTCACTTTTCTGCCTGTGTTTTGTGTTGAGCAGGTACCTATAGTGGCTGTGACAACAGCAGGGTGTGGGATAAGAGCACTGACAGGAATGTATGGCAGCATGTTGGGTCTTCAAAAGTTGCGTGTTCTGAATTGTGTTTCATACATCAGTGGCTCATCTGGCACAACATGGTGAGAAGTCATTTTGATTCTATTGTTTGGATCTTATTATGTGAAGCAAAACCCTGCTTTGTCTGGGCTTTAGATCTCAGAAAAGGTAAAAGGTACTGAGTTATTGTTCTTTGGTCTGAGAACAATGGAGTCACCCAAGAAATGTTTGTTGTGCATCATACTTTTTGGTGTTGCTGAAGTAATTTAACACAAATTAAAAGTTGAAACTTTAATGGCAATGCAAAAATCCTTAATCCTATGCAAAATTATCCTTTACGACTGATTACTGTTGGACAAAACAGCATAGAGAGCTGATGGAGCTGCCTGAATAGGATTCAGAGCAAGTGATTATCTATAGACTTGCATTTCTGTTCCAAGCAAGCTCGAAATAGAAGAGTGACCTAAAGCTAGTACAGTAAGACATGCCCAAAGTATATCCTCTCAGTTCTAAAAACTTCATCTTCTTTTTTTTTGCACCTCCCCATCCTGTTTCCTGTTTGCAGGACCATGACAAAACTGTATGAAGATGCTGAGTGGTCACACAAGGATCTCGGAGAAATAATTATTGAAGCTCGGAAGCAAGCAGCCAAGTGCAAGATGGGTGCTTTTTGCTTGAGAAGTCTGAGGAATTATTACAAAGAGCTGAGTCAAAGGACCCAAGCAGGACATAAAACATCTTTTATTGATCTGTGGGGACTTATGATTGAATCGATGTTAAATGATGGGGTAATGTCTACACAGCTATCTTCTCATAAAGTCGGTTACCTGATCTTTGTGACCATTACAAGTAATTAAAATCCTAGGAAAAGGTACCTGGCCAGTAACGCTATACTTGGTATGCAGGCAGAACACCACTTACTGCAGTAATATCTTGGGGATGCAGTGCATGTCTACAGTGAAGCCTAAAATGGGACTGAATATAATGTAGAAACACTGAGACTAGTTCTAAAGTAACTGGCATGCTAATTAAACTTTGTAGCTGTCCAAGAATTTTTTGAAATTCTGAAGTGTTTTTTACAGCTTCATGCTTTTATGCATTGCTGTAATGTTTGCTATATTACACAAGCTGTAATCATATATTGTACATACTGCAGGTGTACTCCTTACGTAGTTACTGCACTTTGTGAATTAGCACTGAGAAACTGTGTAGATCTGTTGCAGGAATAGTGATTCTGCAGATGTTTTCAGCTGTTTTGAATTTGATCTCTCAAGACTGCCCCTTCCAAATTCTGTTAAGCAAAATTTTCCACGTAAACTGACAGACTGATGTCAGCTGAAGAAAAAACTGTTTTATTTTAAAATCCTGTAAATGTTGTTTATATTTTGTCCAGGTGAAGCAGGAAAAAAGAAAAAAGCCCATAAATATTTTTGCTTCATATCGTATTTCACATTATATTTCTGGCTTCACTGCTAGCTAGTTGCTAGAATTTCATTTGGCTGAAGTACACTCAATATATCAATTTCATGTAAAAGATAAGCTATTAGTATTGAACAGCTCAAGGATTTTTCCTCTGTGGATGGCACCTTCCAATATGTTTCATGACTGTTTTTGTCTAGAAGTGTCAGTAATTCTTCGTGAATTCTTATGTTAAACAGATGAAAAGATATGATAATAACAGAATTAGCCAGATCTGTTGTTTGTTTGTCATTCTCCCTCTCATATATTTAACAATATAAAGCTAGAACAGCATTTAAAGCATCTTATTCCTGGTGTCATACACTGAATGTATGACATGGCTGGTTCTCATAACTAGAGTTATTCTCTCTCTCACGGTGTTTTTCTTGCCCCCTTTATTGGTGATGTGGAAATAACTCTAGGTGGAAATTAAGATAAATAATATTCTGTTATTCAGATATTATAAGCTGAGGTCTTTATGGAATGGATTATTAGCTAACCTTTTTTAAATTATTATTTTTAATATCCAGAAATGCTACCACAGGCTTTCTGATCAACGTCGAGCAGTGAACCAGGGCCAGAACCCACTGCCCATCTACCTTGCCCTGAATGTCAAGGATAAAGTTACTACCAAAGATTTTAGAGGTAATGATGTTCCATTTCTAGGAAAAGGCATTCATTTTTACAGTGTACGTACAGATACTGTGAATAATGACAAACAGTTTTAAATTCTTCCTCCAAGCCAGAAGTCCTGTTCAGAGAATGTAAACAATAGCTGGGGAACCACAGGATACAAAGCAGCAATTTAACATTTTGTAAAATCTCCTGGCATGTAAATGTGCATATTTAGATATTACCTTCAGGTGACCAGTACAGCCTAGATCCATGACACTGCCTTAAAAATACTATCAATTCTTAAGGAAAGTGGTTCTCAGAAACTTTTAAATTCACTTAATGAGCATTTTTCATAGTTGACTAAAGGTTAATAAATGCAATAGATAACAAAACCACATTCTAGTCCTCCTTCCATAAGAAAACACCCCACTTTCGAAAGAATAGCTTGAAATTTCCCTCACCTCCTAGATAATTCTTTTCCAACCTTCTGAAAACTGTGATTGCTGTTTCAGTTGCCTGCTGGATCTGAGAGGCAGTAGTAAGCAGGGTTTGCTTTGGGCTTATTCTAAATCAGCCTACCTCCAATAGCACTGAAGTTTCACTCGGTGTCTGCTCATGTTGCTGCTTTTAACAACATTATATCCTCTGGGCTGGTGGAGCTAATGCTGTTGGTATGTGTGTTGTCAGAGTGGGTAGAGTTCACACCCTACGAGGTGGGCTTCTTGAAGTACGGCGCCTTCATTCGTGCAGAGGATTTTGGCAGTGAGTTCTTCATGGGTCGCTTGATGAAGAAGCTCCCCGAGTCCCGAATCTGCTTCATGCAAGGTGATTTACCAGCCTGGGGAAGTGGCAAGAATTTAATACAAACACCCATGATTTGGGAAATTAGTCCCCAGCAAGCTGTTTTGCATGTAGTAGCAGAGGCACTGGGTCACATCAGAGAGGGGCCAATGTCTTGGTCACTTCGATTCAGTACGTTTCCTGACATTCGCACACGTACCCATGTTTTTGTCACTGAGACTAAGAAAATTAAACTAAAAAAAAATTAAAAAATTGTCATATACCTTTGCAAGTGCTTTTAAAATATCATTTTCCCTTAGCTTGAAAAGCATTTCAAAAGTTGCAAGCCTATGTGACTTGGCAGAAGCTGAAGGAAACAGTGATAAGAAATAAATAGAATAAGAATGATGGGAATCAGTGAAGAAGCTGGCTGAAAATAATCCTTTATGGAAAGAGAAAAGAGCAATGCAAAATTTGTCTTTGCCTACAAATATATGTTGTTCTAAATAAAACATGGTGGTAGGAGAAGAATGTTGACATTTCTTCTGAAATAAGTTTGCATTATGAGTCAAGTTTAGCACTGAAGTAGATGTCTGGGCCCTATTATACCTCTCTCACTTCCTAGGAATGTGGAGTAGTATCTTCTCCAAAAACCTCCTGGATGCCTGGCATGCAGCGGACAATTCAGAGGACTTCTGGCACAGATGGACCCAAGACAAAGTGACTGAAATAGGTAAATCCTCAGTACCTTTTGACTTACGGCCTTCCTCTTCCAGGCCCCTATGATAAAATAATTGCACTCATATTTCTCTGTTTTCTGGTGCTCTTGATCTCAAAGTAGTGGAGATACCGGGAATATGAAATGATTTGATGTTACTGATAGCCAATGCTTTGCTTAATCTGAGACTGGCATTGGGGAGATTTATATCGGAAGACAAGGCACTGTCAGACAGGCCTTGATAGAAAGAAGGTAGGGATGATTATATGAGGTGTTCTCTGATGTGCTGAGTTAAAAGACTTGCAAAGAATTATTTCTGCTAAGGCAAATTTTTTTTTTTTTCAATTTCATTCCCCCTAAATTGTGCATCTTTCTCTCAAAATCTGGCTGATCTGCAAGATTTAGTAGAGGTCCAAGGAAGTCAATAGAGTGGGGGGGAAAGAGGTGGGGGGGGATGCATAACACCAGCTGAGAAGGACAGCTCTGTAGTAAATGACCATTCCTTAAAAATATCCATGGGCACCTTCATGTTAAAATTCAAGCGAAGTCAGTGATTTCATAGTGAACAGATTTGGGTGACATTTCTGTCACTGATTCTTCCTCCTCTTTGTTCCTGATCATATATATGTGACTATAATTCAACTGTGTGTAATTTATGTCATGTACCTCTAGAGGAACAACCAGACTTGCCCGAGAAGCCCTATGAGATGGCTACGTGCATGTTCACTCCTACAAGTGGCCTCTCCACGACTCTGCGGGATATTCTGACGGACCGCCCTGCTGTTTCCAAGTACCACAACTTCCTGAGGGGCTTCCAGATGCACAATGAGTACATCCAGCACGAACAGTTTGCAAAATGGAAAGGTATAGACAACACTCCTGCTCATGCATCGCTTCCAATATCACAACTATTGAATTTTGGGGGTGTTCAGTAGAGACAGTCCTTATTGGGAATAAAATAACTGGAGATGGGTTTTGCGTGTACAGAAAACCTGCCATAGGTTTTGTGCAGCTCATGGGTTTGGAAAGACTGACAAGAATGTGAGTGGAGAGGCTGAAGAAAGCTTTAGGATTGCTGCATGACATCCAAAAGCAAAGGAAAAATCTGTAAGTGGGAGAGGAGCTTGCCATCCTTTTGTTTTCTAACTTCACTCATGTTTTTCTGCAGCTTACTAATAGCTCCAAATTTTTATTCTTTAGACACTTTGCTGGACTCCTCTCCTAATGATCTGAGAGGCCACTCAGAGCACTTGGAGTTGGTGGATGCAGCTTTCTTTTTTGAAACTAGCTGTCCACCCCTTATGAGACCGGAGAGGAAAGTGGATGTCATCATACACTTAAATTACACTGGTGGATCGCAGACCTTGGTGAGAAGTAAAAAAATGTCATTGTTTAATGATGGTTTTTTGTTTGTTTGCTTTCTTCGACTCTTGGACAAGTGTCTATAAAATGTTATTAGTGGAAGTTGATAAAAGTGTTTCCCAACCTTAAAAGAAGAGCAGAAATTCTCAGAGGGAAAAGTATATCAGTTTTTTTCTAAAATCACCTTTGAAAAAGCCCTAAGAAGAATAGTCAGAGCTCTCTGCTTCACCAATAACGTACAGAGTGGCACAATGAAGTTATTATGGTTGTGCTGCAACTTCCATTACAAGTGTCTGTAAGATTTATAGCACAAATATGGTTGGAAAAGCTTCTCTAATTCAGATGCAGAATTTATTTTGCGTCTTCCTTAAATACATACAATTTGTATTTTTATTAGACAGTCTTTCTTATCTGTCCAAGAAAAAGATGGCAAGTGAATAATTTTTGTCTTTATTTTCATTTTTTTCAATGAATGCATTTTTTTCTCTTAATGTGGTTATCTTGAAGAAAGGTATCAAATGCACTTACTGTATTTGCTGAAGTCTGATCATAAAATGGTTATATAGTTTTCAAAAGTGATATTCACCACATAAAAAGACAGACTTAGAATTCCAAATGCATGCTTATAAACGTAAACCTGCCCCTGAAGTGCACCACAGAAAACACAAAGTTCACTCATTAAGGTTCTGTCATTGATTTCAAGTGGATGATACTTTAAAGCTGTTCCTACACTGCAATGCCAGATGAAAAAAATGTCAGTTACTTGTACTGACATTTCTTTCTAGTAATCTCAAGTCCTTCAGAAATATTTAATTCAAACAAACTGAGGTGTTATTTCAATGCATTGTTAAGTAATTTAACAAAGCTTGACCATCACAAATGAGCTTTGTGATTTAGTTTTGTATTTTCAGATTTAATACTCATAAAATGCTAGAAATTTCACATTATTTCTAAAACTTGAAGTCTAAAATGGGAATTTGGTTTCAAAACAACCCACTTAAGTCTACTCACAAGTTACCACTGCTACATAAACAGATAGTGTGGCTGTGAATCTGTCTTTGACAGCAAATTTAGGATTGCAAATTTAGTTGTGTGCAGATTAAAAAATAAAAATAAGAAAATTCTAGTGTAATTCTCCTTTAATTAATGATGCTCTCTAACAATCTTTGAAATTACTTGCCTTCTTCCTATGTTATACTTCAATTTTAGAAATGTGCCTTGGCACAAATTTAAACCCTCTTTGCCATCTTAATACCAGGTATTTTATTTCAACTCTATTTTCAAATAACTCCTCTGGCGACAGGAGAATTAGGGATTGCATGTGCTCACATTATCTTCAATTTTACAGTACTATTGAGTCATCTTGTGCAACTTAACATGAATTACAGGGCTACAAAACAACCTGATCTTGTGTATGTTTTCCATTTTTTATCCTGCTGCTATTGGGCAATGACCAGCCTCTAAAGCAGGCTTGCAGTTACTTCTCAGAGCAGGGAATTCCATTTCCCAACTTTGGGCTGAAGGATGATGAGAAGAACCTGAAAGAGTGCTATGTGTTCGATGGTGCAGACACCCCTGGAGCTCCTCTCCTGCTTTACTTTCCACTAGTGAATGACACTTTCCAAAGATATGTAGCACCTGGTAAGTTAATATTATCTAGCTATTTTATGGACACAGTGAGTGTTTTGACCTTGAGTGTTTCTTCTTTATCCCAATACAAAAATCCTTTGCTTGCTTGTTCCTACTAGTGAATACACTGCATAATGGGATGACACTAACTACTTGTGAAATCTTGTGTATAATTTCAGTTTGAGACTTGGTGCAGTTCAGAGAAAGAAGAAATGCATTCCTCAAGTAGAGGGATAGGAACTTATTTCTTCTTGTGGTCTCCAGAATTTTACTTTACAGTGAAGAACAAAGCGCAGTTTTCAAATAATATATTTTATAACAGTCAGATCTAGGAAGAACTACTTTTACAGTACAGAATGTTACTGAGGAGGACCACTGTGCTTTCTTTTGGGTTGTTTAATGCATTTCTTGTATGTGTTGAGAAATGAAAGCAATAGGATGTAAACTAAGACTTGTTAAATGCAGTCACGGTGTCCTTTTGGGCCAGTGTTTTAGACACTGCCAATATTTTTATTATGATTTCCAAGGCAACAGATGTTCTGCCTTATTCTATGCTGTGCATCTCTTTATTCCTTCTACCATTAGTATGTATTCTATTTGGGACCCATGGAGTAAGACTCTGAATGACCCTCATAAGATGGCATGCTATGAGTCGACCAGTAGAAGGTACTAGTTGCAATGGAATGATGTCTAGTGACACTTGTTCTTGAATTCCAAAAAGACTTTGTTCAGAAGTACATTTCTCAGAGATCAGAGCACTGCACTTGTGCTTGCAATCACACCTGCAATCTCTCTAAATTATTGTTGACATAGTCTATCAGAGGACTGTAATTTCCTGGGACTGTACAAACTCCTCTTTTTCCTCTGACAGGCATGTCTCGCGGTGCTGCGGAAATGGAACAGGGCAAGGTTGATCTCTCCAGTTTCTGCTCTCCATATTCTACAAGAGAGGTGTCGCTGAAAGCAGAAGATTTCAACAAACTCCAGAAGCTGACTACTTACAACATCTTGAACAATGAGAATATGATTCTTCAGGCCTTGCGCATGGCTGTGGCTCGGAAGAAGCAGGCTCCGAGCCAGCCTGTATCACAGGCACAGGCCACTGGTTGAACAGTATTTCCTTTCTTACTAAGTATTTATCACAACTACGCAGAATTATCTATCAAATGCAATAGCTACTTCACTCATCTTGGGGAGTGCCATTTATTTACATATAGCCCTCTCATAAAAAAAAAACTCCAAAACTTGAAATACTTCAGAGCTGCACAGTTCAGTTTACTAAGAAAAGTTGCTATTTTTGATCAGGAATTTTGATATCAGATAGACTGGTCTGATGTTAATATCATCTTATGTTATGCACAGAATGCAAATTCAGCTGTTTCTGATAGGGAAGTAGTTTTAACTTTTTCTCTCCATTCTCTTATTGTTTTGGTGGTTAGTGTTTTTTCATATGCAAAATATTCTAGCATTTCATTGGGACTGCAGGTAGCAAATTCACGAAGCCCATAGGAGGTGGTGACCAAGCAGTATCAATTAAAATATTTTACTTGGTTCTAATCACTTGAATTAAATGGTGTTCTACCTCATAGTAGTTTTGTTTCTCACATATGTTTTTTGTCATTAACTGTCATGAGCTATCATATCATACTTAATTTTTCAGACATGTTGAGCGATGGATATATATATATACATATAGATGGTGGCCTTTAGGTCTTCAGTGACACCTTTTTTATCAATTAAATCAAACTTTTGAATGTGTTTTGAACGGCTATTGCCATTTTCTCCCACAATCAACCATGTTCTGTCTCAGATCTCATACGTGTACTGAAGTTATCTCCCTGGAAAGCAATTTTGCTTCAGCATTGTCTGGAACTTGTTTGTGTAATGAGTTGAAATATTACCAAAACAAACAGCACGTGAGGGGAACAGTGAGTTTTATGGTAATGGCATACACAGAATCACACTGTTGAAATGGAATGAGGTAATTTTTTTTTTTTTGCCGTTTCACGCTTGTTAAACAACTATAAAAAGTGCAATACAAATGATAGGTACACTAGTAAAAAATAATACATTACAATTACCATGGACTAACCTACTCATTTGACAAGTACATTGAAATACAGTGGCTAAGGGGGAAAAAAAAGAGCTGGTTTAAATGCACATAAACACACGACAGTTCTCAAACATCAGCACAACCACCACAGAACAGATGAAGAAACATCCAGATCATTTCCTGGGAATGCACTAAATGATGTGTGCACACCTGATGAGGGCAACCTGATGAGCAATCCATAAACAAAACACAGCACCAGCACTCCTTTTCAAGCTGTACATGAGACCAGTTTGTAACACAGGAAGTGATTTTGCGTTGTTCCAAAGAATCAAGAGCTTGTCCACCAAAGTGTGAATGTTGGTCAATCGTCATTGCATCTGAGTGAGGGTATATAGCATAATAATTATCTTACATTTCTTTCTTTTCAGCTAATGAGAATTTTATAAGTAAATCCGTTGCTGTTCTGGACATTTTTTTTCAGATACTATGAAAAAAATATGAACTGTTTTGGTTAAAAAATAAATAAACTCATGCATTTGAAGAAGTGAATCTACTCACATAACAGTGAAGAAAATTTCACCAGAGAAGGAAGTGAAGTTTCTGTTTCTGATAATTTTTCCTCAAAGGCAAATTATTGGACAACAACAGTCTTTTCTAGAATTTGAGCTTGTCTTTTTGGCATTAGACCCACAAGGAGGTTGTTGGATTAGACCACATGGATAGGAGTTGGCACATGGGCTTTTGTCAATGGCCAGCTAGGTTGAGAGTCACAGGAGTCCCTCAACTCCTTATGTAGATGAGACTTTTTTTCTCTGCATTTCCCAGAAAGGCACATAGACAGTTTCTCTCTTATCTTCTATGGTCTAACCAGTCTGAAGATGGCAGTAAAGGAAGAAGCTCACCATTTACCATTGAAAAGTCCTGAGACAAGTCCAGCCTTAACATAGAATCACAGCATGGCTTAGGTTGGAGAACTTAAAAATCATATAGTTGCAAGCCCCATGTTATAGGCAGGGCTGCTACCCACCAGATCAAGGCTCAGGGCCCCATCCACCCTGGTCCTGAATGTCACCAGGAATTGGGCATCCACAGCTCTCTAGGCAGCTTGTATCAGTGCCTCACCACCCTCTGAGTAAAACATTTATTCCTAACATCAAACCTAAATCTCCCTTTTTTAGTTTAAAGCCATTCCCCCTTTTCCTAACACTAACTAAGCCTTGTCTTATCTAAGATGGTAAAATACTGACCAAAAAAAGATCCCTGACAAGGGACAACAGCTGAAATATGAAACTGAACTGGCACATCCCAGGAGCTCACAGACTTGACAAAGCTGATGCAGTGCTCAGATCTTAAGAAATAACAGCAGGACTAAATGACAAACATGGTGAGACCGTCCCTGGCAGACATTAAGGATTCAGTCAGAATGCCTATTTTAACAGTTCAGGTTACTTCTTTTGAGCTTTTCAGTGTCTTTTTGGATAGAATATCAGGCCAGAACTACTCTTTTTATTGTGTATTTTTGCATGTTTGCAGAAGAGGAAGGCAGGCATGGGTGCTGTGAGAATGCAGTATCACCTCTAGCTGTTCTCAAGTGGGCACCTCATTCCAGACATTTGGGCATGTTAGTAGCTGGACTCATGGAGGGGCTGTTTACTCACATATCTGCTGTATGTACTAATTTGGAGGAAAATGTGCTATGTTTTTTCTTGATTTACTCTGTTTTTTGTTTGTGGGATTGTCCTGAAAGCAGGAAAAGATACAAACCAAGATGATCAAATGCATATATAAAAGTGAGGAAAAATCTAACAAAAAAGTAACTCTGCCCCTCCCACCTCAAAGAAAAATAAAATAATATCTGGCTGAATTTTGGAGTCTTCAAAGGTTTTATCCAAAATCCTTTTGTCTGTTGATTGCAGTGCTGTAGAGCTGCTGTTTTTCTCTGACTTATGCATAACTGCTGTTATCTTCTCTATTTGTGCATTGTTAGGTGGCCAAGTCATGGGTATCCATGCTTGTGCTGTGTGCTATTGGACTCCTACATTGATTTGCTAATAACTTTTAAGCACCTTGGTGTGTACAGCCTTCCCTCAACGCACACCCATCGTGTTCAGATATCAGTCTCCACAAATTCCCTCCCCTTCTCTGTCCATACTTTTCCTTTCAGGCACTAGAGAAGGTGGGGCATGGATAATCCACTTGCTCCTCAACCGGTGGTTTCTTAAAGTTTGCAGAGGTACTTTGTGAGTCACTGCCAACTGTTGTCTCTAATACTGACGCGACACCCATAGCTCACTTGTATGCAGCTGGGAGCATGATGGGATCATACTGGAGTGCCCACGAGGTAAGAAATTCAGACTGTAATCCATTAAAAGCTGAAGTTGGTCAGGAATGGGTTTGAAATTGGGACTCCCGTGCCTTGGAGAGGTCTTGGGAGACGACAGTCCAAATTCATGCATGTTTTTACTTAGGTTAGACAACTTGATGGGTTTCCTGATATTGGTAGCTCTGTGGAGGCATTTTTGGTAATGAGGAGAAATTGAGATGCATTGGGTGATCCATGTAGAAGCTAGGAAGCAGTCTGAGGTACCAGGAATTTGTGAGGGACGTGATGAAGTGCTGAGACCTTCAGAGTAAGACTCTTATGGCTTAACAAATAAACTGAATGAGAGTCTAACTCAACTAGCTACAGAAACATTAAGTAGAGAATTGTCCCCTACTCATCCTCTCTACTGTTTTCCCAGTCCTCAACCCCTGAAACAGCCCCATGAGAAGGGACAAAACTATACTTTTCTTGGTGATGAAGGGCAGGAGAATTATTCTTCCAATTTTGCTGCATGACTTTAAAAATTGCAACAAATATTTATGGGAGGGCATGCTTTTTGAAGCATAAATGTTTCATTAATTCTGCAATTGTTTTGTCATTGTCCTGCAGTGTGAAGAATGCCCATGCAGCTCCCTCTCTATAAAAATCATAAGGATGAGAAATCTGAGAAAGGCAGATCTGTGTGAGTATCACAGTCTTTCCTTGCACTTCTCAGTATTTCAGTTCTGAAAGCAGTGAGTAGAACCAAGTACTGTAACTTGTGTCTGTTTATAAAGTGTCACCATGGTTCCAGATACTGCTGTATATTTGAATTTGGACTAATCTTACAGTACAGTCTGTTATAAATAATACCCTTCAGTTTACAGAAGCGTTGCTATTAATGGAAATATCAAAGGTCTGCTGGGGTACAATGTGAAGTATCTTAACAGCTGAAAAGCTCCAGAACCAGTTTTGCTGAACAAATCCAGCTGTTAATTATCAGTTACATTTTGTGATGTGCTGTGATGAATGCTGCACCTCTAATTCTAGATAAAAATGCCAACACTGACAATGAGTGGCTGCTAGAGGCTGTGGGGTAACACTGGAGCTTTACTACCATCTCTCTGTCTTTGGCAGACAGTAGAAATACATTCAGGCACTTTCACATTTCTGTATTTGATTTAAAAAAAAAAAAAAGAAAAGGAGCATTATGAACATTATATGTTGTATGAGTTTGTTGTTAGACAACTCTTTCTAACTCTTTCTGTGACATGTTTACTGAAATGCATTTGAAATATCAGACTTTCAAGGCAAAAACAGTATGACTGAAATGTTTCTGGGGACTTGGTGGAATGGGTGAGAGTGGAAGTGAAGACAGAAAATCTCAGTGGCTACTGAGGTAGAAGAAAACAAGCTGCAGGATAGCTCAAATATCTGTCTTGGGGAGAAGGAACAAGGCAGGAATGCAATGGGAGGGAAGTGGTTAGGAATCTTTATGTATTAAGTAAACACAAGGGAACTTAGCAAGAATATTTGCCTCCATGGAGACGACGTGGCTTTCAAAAAACTACTGGGTTGACCCTAAGGTTTTGCTTACTTTTTTTAGAGGCTAGTATGTGCTGTTAAAATGTCCATAAGTGAGAAATTAATCACTATTAAGAAGAAAGCTGAAGTAAAGTAACTTTTTAAACTTAATAATAGATTTATATCATAATTCAATGAAACTGATAATAGTATCTCTAACTAAAATTACAAATAATTAGTCTTTGCTCTGGGATTATTTTGGATAATACTTTTTGTGGAAATGCATTTATCATTTAATTCTGGAATTTACTCACATGTTTGTAAGCAGTTGAAACATTTAGTTTAAAATATATTTTAGGAAAAATAGAATCCAAGAGTTGTATTTCCCACACAAAGTTTCTTGTTTCAATCACTATTTTTGTATAATTTAAACTTATTAAGAGAGAAAGAGTTGCTGACAAAGTTGAAAGATGGCAAATAAATCAAGCTGCAAGAAGCTATCAGTGCATTGATAAAATCAGAATCTGATTAGGTGAGGCTGCATTTTTTCGAAGACCACAGGTCTAAGATGAGTATACTTTGCTTCCTTTTGTCTGTGGCACTCTGCAGCTAAAGGAGAGACAGTGTCCTCCTTTGTGCAGTGGGTTTGCTACCCACAACCCACTGCATTCATTCCTCCTTAGATCTTGCACATATTGTATAACATGGGACTTGTTTTTCACATTACAGGATATCTGTGGCAATCTGCTATGATCATGATCTCCTGAACCTTTGTGTCAGATAAATGGCCCTATTTGTATGTGGTGAGAGCGTAATAACAAAAATTAGCCTACTAATGTAGGCTACTAATGCGTGTTGAAATCAGATACGAGTGAGGCTTACTCATGAATCAGAATGATGTGCTCCTACATTAAGTAGAACACAGCATTCCCAAGATGCTGTTGCAATTTCTGCATGTTTGAATTTGAGTACAGATTTTCTATCAAAGTCGTAAAAATGGTGCTACCAGAGCTGTCATCTGGCTTGAGAATCTGTTCTCAGAAGTGGACAGCAGATTCTCTTGGACAGGACAAACACCAAGACGTTCTTTTCCCTGCCTTGCTCACCCAAGAGATCTGTGGCTGATGAGGTCTGTAGCTCAGAGATCTGGGTCTTGGAGGCCACCAGAGGGTTTCACTTTGGTACCTTACAGCTCACTTTGCATTGAATGGGAGCCCAGACTCCTCGCTGCCAAAGGAAAACACAAAAACCACTTTCAGGGTGTTATCAACTTTAGTGAGGTCTGTGTGCTTATATTGCTGATTAATTAATTATAGCCTTTTCTTTTTTTTTTTCCCCACTTTGCCTTACATAGCAGAAATACCTGCTGGAAAAAATCTGATCTTTTCTGGCTGACTTGAAAAAGCCCTTTCTACGCATTGTTTAGGGCTCCCTCTCACACAAAGACAACTGTCCCCATGTATTCCAGATCTGGCTTTTAAACTGTGAAAACCTTGTGGCTGAATCTTCATAAATGTATCCACCATGCCTGCACAATGTGTCTCTGTTGCCTGGACGGTGCTCTTTCTCTGCTGCTCTACAGGGTGAATATGTGGAGATCTGTGTTTTTGAGTGTCTGAAGTCTTAACATCAGTCATCAGACGGGCTTGAGAAACAGGTGAAATAGGGGGTTGTGACACATTTCTAGGGCAGGTACATGAACATGGCTGCTTTTTATCAGCAGAGAAGTGCTGGCCTTGCTGCTGCTGCTGCTGCTACCGCTTGGGAGGGGAGAGGGGGAGAAGTTAGCTGTGTTTGTGAGAACCACTGGGTGCAGAAGTAACTAGGTGAGAAGGGCCTGTGCTCTTCCCATTCCTGTATTCCCACTGAGGTGCATAAGGCACAACAGCTGCACTGGATTGCACCAAAGGTGTTTCCTGCCCAAGTATGAGAGAGACCAAAGACAGGTGCTATGATCTCAGTGTTTCATCCTTGTAGTGGCAAAATCAGTTTTATTTTCAGTACTGACCTTGCTCTTCCATTCAGTGACATCCTGTGATCTTCTCTTGCTCTTCCTGTCAGTTGACATGATGGAGTTTAGCTTTCAAAACGCTCCTACCAAGTGTAGGAAGAAATCAGTTGTTGCAGAAGTCTTGTTTGCCAAGGGCTGGTACACCAAGATCTTCGTAGGAGGGCTCATTCTTCATCCCCAAGTCCTCCCACCCATTTCTTCACAGACCTCTTCGAAGCTACCTTTACACGGAATGCTGCATTTCTACCACATGAGAGTTTCCTTCTAGAGAGGTTTATCTACTGGCCAAGTACAAGTGCATTTCAACCATGTGCTAATTGTAACAAGAATGAGACCCACACTGTGTAAATTCCCTACTGCAGGTTTCATTTTCAGTGTGGCTGTTTCATGCACAGAGATGCAAGAATGCAAAGTAAACACCCTGGCTGTCAGCACAAAGCCTTGACTGCTGAGCTGCTGCCACATGTGAGGCCTTTATGTTGTGCCTGCAGTTAAATGCTGGCCATAGCCTTTCTGCAGGTAGTGAATTTTGAACATTCACTCTGATAGCACCCATGCTGCTCTTAAAGTTGCTGCTGCTGCTGTGCCTGTGTCCACAACCACTTTAGCTTCCCCTCCCCAGACCCCGTAGTGCAAACAGCTTACAGGTTGCTTGCCCCAACTTGCTTGCTGTGTGCTGTACTGCCTGGCTTGTGGGAGCACAGCTAGAACTTGCAGTCCCGGTGCTTACATACCTGGGCACTATCTGCTTCTCGCAGCTGGCAGATCTAGTTTATCATGGACTTTTCTGTAGGGTTCACTGCTCTTTGGGGAGGGAAAATATGTATTTTCGACACTGCAAACTCTCTCATAGAAGAGAAGCCTGTTTGTTTCAAGAGCTGCAAGTGAAGTATCGAGTAATCTCTGCTACATGCATGTATTTTTTAAAAATTATTCCAGTTAGGAGCAAGAAAATGTCTTTAACATTAGTTTGCCTTGCTTTGTATTTAGCAAATCTCAGGGTTCCAGAAAGCGTGTACTGGAATGGCTCAGAACTACAATTTTTAATCTTTAAAAAGTGATAACATAATTCTCAATTAGCATTTCATTAGATAAAGCCTTATATTTGTCTTTATATATTGTTCATAAAATTATAGAATCATTAAGATTGGAAAAGACCACTAAAACCATCTACTCCAACCATCAACCCATGCCTATCATGCGCGCTAAATGCTAACTTAATGCCATAGCTACCCATTTCTTAAACACCTCTAGGAATGGCGACTCTACTGCTTTCTTGTGTAGTTATGGTGCTAAACCTGAGTCTCATTGATGTGTAATTTCATAACATACTCCTAATACTGCACTGGAAAATTTGGAAGTCAGTATCACTAATTTTTTTTTATGACCAAGTCCTGGGCAATACTACCATAATAAGAAATTTCCACTGCATTCTAAAGGAAACTGGTAGGGAAGGTATGATTGAAGACATGATCAACAAACTGCATATGTTGCTTCTTTTGCTTTCCACTGCCCACAGCATGGCTGTGAGAAGACAGCAGAAGCCATAGTGTGAAGTGGGCAGACAGGCAGCAAAGGTGAGCTAACCAGCACTAAAACTTAGCTTGAGATCGCTTTCCTGTTAAAATGGATGTGGTCACGACACGATCCTCAGAAGAGCATTTTTGTCTTTGCAAGGCATCTGATAAAAGTTCCTCATGATACTGGCTGTTCAGGCAGGCTGTATTTGCACTGGGAGAAATCGTCATGGTAGGTGAAGAGAAATGCTTGGTGATAGGAATCTGAACAAAGACAGAGAAATAGTTACGCTGGTACCTGCAAAGTTGCAACAAGGCCTGTGAACAGTGATTTCTTAGTTGGTTAAGAAACTGAAACAAACAAATATGAGAGCAATTGCTGATCACCAGGAACTCCTCCCTGTGACATCATACCCGAAGGTGGGACTTTCTTACTGTAATTGTAAGCTGTTTAGATTGAGATCAAAGTCTAACTGAATGACTACTAAGGCACCTGGCAAAATGGAACTCTGGTTCTGACTGATGTTTATCATAGCAAACTAATAACCACAGTTAATAATATGAAGAACAAATGAGTGAGCAATCTCAATACTGTCTGAGTTTGGAGTTGCAGCTGTTCATAAACCCTTTCCCTTCTATTCAGTTTTCTCT